TTTAAAGATGAGTATTTTGTATTAAAGAAGGTAACAAAGTACACCACCTTAAGGTCCTCGTTAAAAAACCTCCTTAATTCTAAATGGAGGAAAAAGAGTGTACCTTGAAGTGGGAAAGAATCAATACACATAAAATTGAGACAACACCCAGATCATACCCACGCCCTATCACAAACCCCAGTCCAACACATAATAAGACTAAACACATACAACCAACAAAAAGAAAGAGAACACACTGAGAAATACACACAAACATCAAACCCAGTGAAATGAACCATAGCACCAGAAACAAACCCGCAACAACACCCTGAGCTTGACCGAAGGCACAACGCTTGAAAGAGAAAACTCAATTACAGAAGGCTCGGACACGGACCTGAACAAGATACCACGGAATAACTACTACTCGAAAACAACCAGCTGGTCCCAACAAGAAACCTCACAACTTTAGAATCCAAAAGTAAAATGAGCACCCATCTCACACACAACCACTTCCAAGTAGCTCCACGCTGAACACCCAACAATCCAATATGGGCACAATGAATAAACAATCTCCGACATAAAAAAGGCCCACCAAACAGATAGTATGGGCACCACAAAAAAAAAACAAAAACTGACAACTTCCAAATTACCCACAAAAAGAGTAACATGCGGGAGTCTGTCGAACATGGAACTAACATCACACCTCATACTTAGTGCACAAAAAGCTATCTTCAGTAAAAGCTACCTCAAAGCCAGTGAAAGAAACAAACCCTCAGTAACCAAGAAAACTTCCCAATACCGACAGCAGCTGATATCATCTCTCGAGCACCGACCCAAAGCCAACCATGCACTCTCTGTCTTCATCAAGAACCACCGAAAGAAATAAGAAGAAAACACCCTACCCTTAATGATAAACAAGCTTTTCTCAGGTACACCGAAGCCCACTGCACAACCAGAACAATTTGGACCATCGACATGGACACTTGAACTGGAAACTTCAAGGAAAAAAAGAGCAGAACCCCTCACAATCTCTAAAACGATAAATGAATAAAGCACCACACTAACGTTGGATCAACGAAAGACCCATAATTTCTAATAAAATCTCTGCTCAAAACCTTAAAAAAACCATCCAAGAAAACAAGTACAACACCGGATAACTCTGCTGAAAACACTCACCATACGCTCCAAAGCCCGATAGACTGTATAACCACCATTAGAACGAGCCTAAAACTAACCCTAACATCAACCCTTTCTGCTGGAAAGGTTGTGCAAAAGATAACCTCGATATACAACCGTAACCTTGTAGGAACTAGACAGTACTCCCTCCACCGTAGTACAATCATACGAACCACTCTAAAAACCCCTCAACAAAACTACTCCGACAAGAGAAAGGGGAGCTAGCTTTCGAACTACTAACAAGGAACAAAGAACACAAATCTACTATCCTATAATGCTGATACGCTGAACCAAAAGCCTGAGACCGACCACCCAAAACAACCTTGAAAGACATGGAATCTCTAAGAGCCGGATTCCACACCCTCTTCACCGAGTTTCCAGAAACATATCTGAAGAAAATTGATACCGAAGATATAACAAGAAAAACTATAGATAAGACCCCTCCAACAACGTCCCATCTGCCCACCGAACCGCAAACTGACTTCATGATTGCTGCTTAACCAAGCACACGCAACGTCTCCTACTGCTTTTAAAAGCAATAGACACGAACAACGCTGAAATACTCCATGAAACTTCCTAAAACTTAAACGGGAGAAGCAACTGAGCAATCAACCAGGGCGGCGGAGGCAGATGGGAGAAACCAAATCTTAACGAAAGTTTCTCTCTGCTTTCCTTGTAAGAAGATAAGTTTTGGTTAAGGGTTTGGAATGAAGAGAAAAGGGTAGGTTCAAACACCAATATTCAATAAATTTGATATATGAAATTATGGCAGTGTTTACAATCAAAATAATTATATGGACCCTAAAAAATTAAAATTAATGTTTTCATAACTAGCAAATTAGCAATCACTTTAAGAGTTTGAATGCTTGGCAATTACTAAAATTAAAAAAAAAAAACTAAACTTTAAGTTTTAAGATATTTATTTAAAAATTTATCTACAGAAAGGGTAAAATTTTTATATTAGTTTTAGTTTGTTTTTACTTAAATATCATCTTGAAAATTAATTTTTAAATTAACACAAATTCTAAAGTAATTCTTATATTGACATTCTTCTAGGTAAAGGCGAGCATTGTCATTCGTGTTTTTGAGTGCTTTTGCTTACGTAGCAGAAAATCAGTTTAGGTTTTTTAAAGCTGTACCAATGAGAACCAAAATGAAAATAAAGAAAAATAATGTACCAAAAGTATGAAAAATGTACAAATTGTATACCAAACGAAAGAAATATATCGGTACCACCCAAAGACATGAGTTTGCACAGGCATGACCACAAGTAGATTGATAGCAACGACACGTGAGTACGTGTATTCAGTCACTCAGTGTATGTTTAAAAGGTTTTATAGTTCAATAAGGCAAGCAGTTTTATTAATTAGCTCAATAAAGTATATACAAGTTTATTTTGGGATTTACTACATTTGTTACGGTGTTTAAGGAACTCGTCCTGTTAAGGTAACGAGTTTTCCAAATAATATTTTTTATTTAAATTCGTCATTTTGAGGTGACGAGTTTCAATATAATATATTTTTATTAAATTTTATCATATCGAGGTAAAAAGTTTGAATAATCTTTTTTATAGTCACTGTAGAAAATACTGTAGATCCTTAAATAAATTGCTTTGTATCGTATTTGACTAAATAATTAGCCCGCATACGATATTGGGCTAAAATTGTCCGTTTTAAATGTTATATTTAAAAACTTGAAATAATTAAAATCCAATATAAGATTTGATAATCTCATGACAAAAATTATTGAATTTGAGCTGTCAAAAATACATGTTATGAACTTGGTCAATACGACAGTTAAAGGGAGTTTTGGATAATTGAATTTCTCTATCATTTGTTGTATTCTAAAATATTAAGTATCTAAATATTCAAAAATTTCTTTGAAAACTCAAAATCAATAACTTTAGCATTTTTTTATTAAGCTAAGGTGATTACAAGTATTATATATTCTAAATATACTTTTAACCATTTGACAATGAATGTTCAATCATCCTGTTGCAGTTGCTGGTGCTCAAATCTGTGACCTCTAGAAAAACAACAATTCCTTTAACCACAAAGATAAGTTGGTTGGTACAGTAACTTTAGCATGAGCTTTTAAAATCCTACATTTTGTACATATTGATTATTTCAAGTATTTAAATATAGTCTCTCTTTTTTTCTTTTTACAAATCCTAAATCTAATCCTACTTAGTAGGGAGGGAAAAGAGGACTTTAGGGGGAAGAAGGGAAGAGTCCTTAGTGGGTCTAGAACTCATGATCTAAGGAAATATGAGTGAATAAAGATGAGCAACTCTGTCAACTAACCAAATATGATTGCTCTAAAATATAATCTTTTAAACATGCATTCATTAATTGATTGGAGACGATGTCTATATACTTGCCATCGTCACTTAACTCGTGTTTGTACATTAAATGATTGAAGACAATGTATACGTGTCATCGTGGCTTAGCTCGTGCTTGTGCAAGCACGTATCTTTAACGTATGTGTACATTCCTTCTTTTTGAAAAAAAAATACATTTTTTTCACCTTTTCTCTTTATTTGTCTTTCACTTTTGGTCATTCTTTTATAAACTTTTATAACCGTATCGTTGCGTATGAAAGCGCGTCTTACCTTATGTGATGCAAGAGGATGTTAGTTCGAAAATTAACATAAAATAGATGTTAACTTAGGAAATGTTATTTAGGGTGATAGTTTAAAAAAATCCTATTGACTTTGACATTTATGTGCAATGTGGTACCACATTTTTTGGTGCAATTAGGTATTTAAAATTTTTCTTTAGTTCAACTAGGTACCAAACAGATTTTTTGGGGTATAATTATCAAGATCATGTCTATTAATCAATTAATTCAAATCGAGTATGGTAAAGGTCAAGACAACCTTCTTAACTAAATTTTTTCTATTCACAAATAACATTATTCGAACCCATAACTTTACTAAAAGGATCTAGTATCTAATCTCACTAGACCAACAAATTTTTTTAATTACACATGATCAATTATTATTGATTCATTCTTATAAGTTTAACACCTTTAGTTAAAGAGATAATATGGGTGACGTATTCAGAAATTAGATATTAAAATTTTAAGTATGAACACGCATAATTTAAAAATTATTAAGATAAAATTATCTTAGTGAACTTTGAAATTATGAGAAAAATTAGATTAAACTTCATCTTCTAAAAACGAAGTTTTAACTCTTCTCATATGCTGATAGTGTCATCACATTAGTTATCTACGTCGAGAGTATTAAAAAATAATATTATTAATTTTAGATGTCATCTGATGTCGCATTTTAGAAGGAAATTTAATCAAATTAAGCTACTAAGTTTGGGAGATAATTTGTGATTTAAATATAAATAAAATAATAAAATTTCATGTTTATATATAGTAATTTTGTTAATTTAAAATTATATATAAAGAACGTTTTTGTTCATTGTTAGTAATTTATTTGAACTTTACACTTCTATACGTAGATTATTTGTAAGATATAAATGTAATAAATATAAATTAAATAAACATACAAACAATGATGATATCATTAATCAAACACTAAATAATTTAATAAACAAACTTAAAATAATTACAAAGATTTATGAATATAAATACACTGATGATGTTAGATTTATATTTAATCGTGAAATCAACAGAGTTCAAAATCTCGTTATATTTAATTCGTTAAACAAACATAAAGAAATAAAAAATAATTAAAAAAAAAAGCAAAATTGTATACCAGATATCCAGGATTGAAGAAATAACCTACTATTCCTATCCACAGGGCCAGTTATTCAAACTCCATTGCATTCTTCTTTTGTACAAGATACACAAACTTTTTCATCAGTCATCAGTCAAGTCAATCGTTGTTCAAAACACCCTTGAGGAGATCCAGCCCTTCCGCCGATATACTCCTCCTCTTACACGACCTCGGGATTTCAATCTTCGGAGGTGGATTCGGCGAGAAGCAGACGACGATGACGGTTAGATTATCGCACGTGTTGCGTTGTAGCGCCTCCTTCACGAGTGCTCTCGAGCACCTCTCCGGATCATTGTGCTGCATCAGCTCCTTCCGCACCATCGTCACCGCGCATTGGCTACTCATCACATCCCAAAGCCCATCACACCCCATTATCAGAAACTCATCCTCTTCCGTCAGCAATATTTCTTCCAGCTCCGGCTCGCAGCTTAAGGGACTCTTCGAACCTTTGGCTCCCTTGATATGCCAGTCTCCTAGAGCACGTGCTACCGAAAGCTGGCCGTTCAGGTATCCGTCGTATATCACACCGCCGAGTTTCTCGATTCTTAGCCTTTCCGATGTACAGTTGGGTTTGTGGTCTTTAGAAAGCTCAATTGCCCTTCCTCGTTTCCCCAATACAGCTCGGGAATCGCCGGCGTTAGCGACGATCATGGTCCTGAAACGAAAACAATCACAGGTGAATATGTCTGTACCAACGTCGAACCGCACAATAATCAACGTTAGCATTTGGTTTCTTACTTTTCCAAAATGAGAGAAGTCAAAGCCGTGGTGCCGGAGGAACTATCAAGAGTTTTAGCATCTGCGAGTGCATGATCAGCTCTCACATATGCACACCTGACCGCCTTTTTCGTGCCGGTCCCGAAATTTTTGTCTTTGACGATGAAGTTGAGAATGTTCTTTCGAGTAAAGGAAGCTGCATCGAGACCGCCATGTCCATCAAATACCTATAGGGGGAAAAACCCCATAACCCTTAGTTCTACATTTAAAAACAGAGTAAACTAATTATTTGGTCACTTACCTCTAACTTACTTTATGTTTTAGTCACTCAACAATAATATTTTTCAAATGCATGATGAAAAAGATTAGCTCTTAACATTCCACTGAATAATCATTTTCTACTCTTATTTTTTTTAACATTTCATTTTGGGACAAACAAATCTCCTTCGTATGAAAACTCTTAGTCAACAAACAAATGAACAATAACGCTTCAAAATAAACGCCCTAAAATATGAGATTTTTGCCCTAAAATGAAATATTAAGGGCCAAAGAACTCTGAAAACAAAAAATAAGAGTTAAAGTGACTATTTATTCAAATATTAAGAGTTTTTTTTTCCTAAAATGATAGGTCGAAGACCAAATGCTCCAAAAAAGAACAAGAGACAAAACGAATATTTAGTCAAATGTTAAGGGTATTTTTTTGGCATTTTATGTTAGATTTTGGTCACCCGTTGATAAAAAATGAATGGTTATGATGACATGAGATGACATGTTAGTATCATTGCTAATTTTTTTAGTAATGAGTGACCAAAATATAACTAAAACTTAATGTTAGGCATGATTTAAAAAAAGTTAATAGTTGAGTATCTAAAACAGAAATTAAGTAATTGGTGACTGATCAAATTGATAGTTTACCCCAAAAACATTGGTCTTAACACCAGATAGATTCGATAATTATGCAAATGGTTGATGAAAGTATCCTAAAATTAAGTACTCTGACCTAACAGAAGATACACACCCCATAGAATGCTCCCAGGTAAGGAAAGTCTGGAGGCGAGCCAAGATGTTGAAAGAGATTATCAATACATATATACTCATCCTCCATATACTGTTTTGGTCCTTTTTCAGAACAGCTTCCCGAACGAAATACAGGTAGAAATCCACAGTTCTCTCTTGGTGGTGGTGACTTCAAGCCACCGGCACCCATGACTGATTCCTACACCAAACCAATAAGATATAAGTATTAATCCATGAAAAACAAAAGTGAAAGAAACGCAAGGGAAGATTATAAGACTAACACTTTCGATTAACCAAGCGGAGCTTGTGCAATGGCGCATAGCAGGGAGGCTTCTCGGAGGTTTGGCAGCGTTGGTTTGGCTCATATTCCCCAATGTGCCTTCGTTTTCATCCTCCATTGAATTGAAACCTCCTTTGAAGCCTCCACTTGCAGGCGACACATCTGTCGCTAGAGCCATTGATCTCTCTCTCTCTCTCTCTCTCTCTCCACACACACAAAAAAAGAACACTAACCCATATTTTGCAGGAATCAACTGCCAAAACGGTGAAGCACTGCAATTAAGATTCGATCCACCCAATACGTATGGTATCAAAAAAGAAAAAGCCACAGGTTGGAAAGTTTTGTTGGGTACACCCTATCGATTGTGAAGAAAGTATGATCAGATAAAGGAGAAGGATTAGAATGTAAAGAAGATGGAGAGGAAGGAGAAGGGAGATATGCAAAACCAAAGCATGGCAGTAGGAAGAGGGGAACGGAGGACCGTTTAGAGAGAGAGAAGAAACACGGCGTCTGTTATATTCCAAGTTTTGCGCACTGTATTATAGGCAGAGCTTGAAAGGGCACTGGGCTTTTGACACGTGTTTCACTTCCTTATCGCTGACCTTTCCCTTGGTTTAGATTCCTTTGACCATCAATCTAGGCCCCCCTCTCTCTCTCTCTCTCTCACCTCGTGCTTTTTACTTTTTCTAGTCATCCAACCAAAACAAACTAGAACTACCGCACTGTGGGATTTTCTTCTGTTCGAATGGGTGTTTTTCAGTTATGGGATTCGGAATATAAATTGGTAAATATACCAAATGAGCTTAATATCAATATATAAAATACATTGCTTCTTTTAGAAAATATATTACCATTTATTATTTTAAATTCTCAAATATAATTTCATCATTATCTTGATAAATAGTAATCTATGAGGTGATGACACTAATCTACCAATATGTTTGGAGATAAAATTAAGATAGCCATTAGTCTGATTAATTTTAATTTAATTTTAATATTTTACTTTTTTACATTTAATTTGAGTTTATAAAAATTTAATCTAACTCAAAATTTAATTTAAATTTTAGAATTAAAACTCGACTCAACATAGATAAAAAAATATTTTATTCAATAAAATAAAAAGTTAACTAAAAAATAGAAAAATAATTATAGTAATTATATTTAAAATTATAAAAGATATAATATATTATTATCTCGGGCCAAGTAAATTTCTTTTATATAAATTTATATCTGATCCAATATTATTCTTTACAATATTTAACTTAACTTAAATTCAAATTAAAAGAAACTAAAATAAACCCTAATTAGAAACTAGCTTTGTAAATTGGGCTGGCTTGCCATTAAAAGTTGTATGTGTCGCTTATTTTAGGCTTTGGGGCATATTTGTTTGAGTTGATTTAATCATTATCCACTATAAAGATTTTTGTGACAATCACTTAGTCCAAGTCCAACTGGTCTGTTCCTAGAAACAGAAGATATACAACATACCCACATGGCATGAAAGCAAGTTGAATGAAACAGGTCACTCAATACATTGAAGTACCTTGCCGAAACAATACATATATATTTTTTAGTACATAAAAAAATTTAGGTCAAGGGCTGCTCTCCTATCCATGGCTATGATATATCTAAGATTCAATTAAAATTTACATAAGAATTTACAGATTGTCTACCAAGAATGACGGTGGTAGGATTTAAACTTAACTTTACAAACTTGAATTCTTGAATCTCAATCACTTATACCAACACTTGTTGACTAAAACAATACATTTATGGAGATCTATTTAAAAAAATATAGGGAGATTATTTTTGTTTAGGTCAGTCAGTTTTGAAAAACTACAATTCAGTTATTTATATTATTAATTTGTTACACTTTAGTAATGAGGTATAAATTTCTATTATGTTAATAACATGACATATTAACAAAAAGAATTTTCAATTTGAATCCTGAAATTTAGAAAAAGAATATCAATTTGACCATGTGATCAGTTAAAAGAGATATCAATAGAGTTTAAGGTTAAATTGTTATTTTATTTGAAGTTCGTGGAAAACCCAATATTTTCTAAAATTTAGAAAATAAATACAATTATTTATTTTTATTAATGTGTGATGTCATCGATATAACAAGAAGCAACGTTTTTATGATCAAACTATAATAAATCGATGATATTAGTGATTGAAATATAGCTTCTAAAAGCTAAGTGACTCAAACTAGAAAATACTAAACAAAAGTGAGATCCACAGTAGTTTACCCTGTTACCAGTACGGAAAACGGCGGTTGGCTATTTTTGTTTTTAATTCTTTCATTCAACGTGGGTATAAGGAGTCAACCTTAAATATTGTGAACCCACTCATCCAATACAAAGGCAAAGGTGACTCGCCGGCAGCAAATGTGTTGGAGATATCGGAGCCAACAAAGAGACTGAAACCAATCTCCGAATTGAAATGTCCCCAGAGGCGCATGCAATTGCAAACGCATCGATGATGTAAGAAATGCCATCAAAATGAGTGAAAACAGCATTTGGAATTGGTAATAGGGGAGGGTCTGAGCCTGGGGTCACTTTTGTGCACCAAGTTGAGTCTAAGGGAAGATATAGTGTGGACTTGGGATCTGGCTTTGGCTTTTATAATTATATCCATGGGTGAAAGACACAAACACCACCACTAAGAGGCCACTCATTTGTCATTACTCGTTAGTTATTTCAGCCTCAAAATCCCCTCTCCATCGGATCATGCGCCTCTCTCTTTCATCCTCGGGAGTTACAGTAGGCGACAACCGAGTCTGGCACATATTATCTTGTTTAGCTTCCCTTATCAGTCAAATCTCCACCACTCATGAAGTTTAATCATGCCTCCAATCTTCACCACTCATGAAGTTTAATCATGCCTCCAATCTTCAAGGACTATACCATTTAACTATATTACGACTTCTGCTGTGACTGCGAGTTACCATCTTCTTCTTTTTTGGATAATTGTGAGTTTCCGTCTTCCTTTGATCCAAAAGTCGGCTTTTGCTTTTGCTTTTCATATTTCAACCGAGATTCTTGTTGAACCTTTTTCTTTTCCTGGTTACTGCTACTACTGCTTGATTTGATGGCTTCCACTTGCTTTCCCAGTTTTTCTTTATTATTCTTTTTGGCTTTTGCAAACTAGCGGAGCACAAGATTTTCTGATGCTGATCTTATGTTTTCTTGGTCCTGATATCTGCTGTCATTAATTCTGTTGTTGGATTGTCTTTCCGCTGCTAATTGAATCGTTTCTTTCATTCATTCAGACCAACTCTAATGAAGCAGCAATTCACCATGAATATAATCATATGGCTTTTGGCGTCCATGATCATCTTCAGAGCTCTTCCTGCAATTGGACTGAGCTCAAGGCCAAAAGTTGTGAATATTGGTGCTATTTTTTCAATCAAATCTGTCATTGGAAAAGCTGCAAAAGTTGCAATGGATGCAGCCATAGACGATGTGAATTCACACCCAGATATTCTTCAAGGAACTCAATTAAAACTACAGTTGAAGGACTCCAATTACAGTGGATTCATGGCGTTAGTGGAAGGTACGTTTGATATAACCAAAACATAACTTACATGAAAAGTATTAACTCTGAATTTAACATTAAAATTACACAGAAAGTTTTAATCTTCTCTTTTCTGTAAAACACTGTAATGAGATGAAAAGAAATTCGAGTTAGTTATAGGAAATCATTACCTCTTTGTATAATTAGACTATTGAATTAGTTTTGAGTATTTATAAACTCCTTCCTTATTGTTGAATGTAGAGCATGTTGGCTGCTGGTTAGCAGCCGGTCAGATTATTAGTCGATTAATAAAATACACGAGTCACAAAAGCACAAAATGATTTTGATATATTATATAAAGGGTAAATTACATAAATGGTCTCCCGACTATAGGATACTACTTTATTAAGTCCCTCGACAATTAAAAGTTACATAATGGTCCTTCAACCCGTTGAGTCTCTCGACTATTAAAAGTTACAAAATGGTCACCCGACCATTCATTATGTTCCAAACTCGTCATTTTCCGTTAAAATTTGACGTTATTCTGAGTTGAATGTTAATATGTTAACTATGATATTATAAACTTGATTCCAAAATCTCAAACGGCTATCATAACTTAATCATCATATTAACGTCCAACTTAAACAATAGTTAATTTTTTAACGGAAAATGACTAGTTTGGAACATAATAAATAGTTGGGTGGTCATTTTGTAACTTCTAATAGTTGAGGGACTCAGCAAAGCAACATTCTACAATCAAATGATCATTTTGTAACTTTTAATAGTCGATGTATAATTTGTATGATTTATCCTTGAATAAATTAATTTATATAATAGGAATCACTCCCGTAATACTTCAACAAAATAATTTAAAATATTAGACACTCATAATTAAAACTCAAAGTTAAAATTGGAATTTATTTATTTTAAAATATATCTTTTAATTTTATATTTCCATTAAATTAAGAAACAATCAAATACAAATATAATTATACTCGATAAGAAATTTGTCAATCAATCGAAATTAAAACATTAAAAAATCAATAAAAATGTGATATTCTTGATTGGTTTTAAATGATCGAATATGTCAATGGATATACAAATTATAATTGATACGAAAACTAGTAATTTGAATGTGTTACATCAAAATTAAAATATTTAATACGAAAGTCTATACAAATTATTTAACGAGAATAATGAAAAATACAAATTAATTTAATTTTTGAGGACGAGGATCTTTTTATATAACTAATTATTGAATTAATTTTGAGTATTTATAGTTCAACTTCTTATTAAATTGTAAGTACAAGTTATATTATTTACAGTAATGATACAATTGGTTGGGTTTGATCTTAGCTTTAGTATTCATGGAGAAAGACACAGTTGCCATAATTGGTCCCCAGTCATCAGTGACGGCTCATGTGATTTCCCACATTGCCAATGTTGTGCAAGTGCCTCTGTTGTCATTCTCATCCACGGATCCCACTCTCTCTCCAATTCAGTTCCCATTCTTTGTGAGGACTTCTCATAACGATTTATATCAGATGTCCGCCATTGCTGATATCATAGACCATTACGAGTGGAGAGAGGTGATAGCAATCTACAAGGATGACGATCACGGCAGAAACGGAATTGCCGCATTGGCCGACGAACTCGCTG